AGTACTTCATTTTTTGCCGTCAATCCAGTTCAAATTCCAAGATACCACTGAATGAAGGATTCACAAAACTCCACACTAAAGAGCAAATCAAGATTTCCATTAAAAAAGAAAAACCGCATGTTCCCAGGTTTTTATCCATTTGTATACCTATAAGAAGCAGCTGCAACTTTGCATACAAGTGATTTCTTTTTACATAAATAAAATGTTTTCTGCCATTTTTAGTCACTGAAGCATTAAAAAAAAAAAGTGGAAGCAGTTGAAAGGACAGGCTTTAAGAAATAACTCTGTTGAATTCCTGAATGATTAGTTCTTGGTTTTTTGAAAAGTTTGTCGTGCATCCTATTCCCAATTCAATTTACACTTACCCCCACAGACCTCTGTGCCTTTTAATTGCTACTCTGATTTTTTAAAATCAGTTTTATGGAGAAATACTGCTATTCTGATTTCTGATGCAAAGAGTTTTTTGTCCCAAAGATGTACCACTGCCTGAGATAAATGATTTGGGGGGGGGTTTGAAAGTACGTTTAAACATGGCATTAAGAAATCGAAACATGAAAACTATGCACGTCAAAGGTAAACGTGTCAGCAGGAGCCTGCCTTGGAGAGAACTTGTCAGTCTTTGTATGAGCTGGATGTTGTAAAACCTGAGAAGCAACACTGTCCTATGACTCACTCCCAAGCTGGGCTCAGTACTCCACAGGGACTGTTGAGGTGGTTTAAGAATGTGCACCAAAGAAACCCTGCAGCTGGGTGTTGGAATTCTCCCCAGGCTAGCATCATGTCCTCCCCTATCCACTTCACTTCACCCTCTCCTCTTTAGCCAGAAGAGGAGCTGGTCAGGACTCCACTTACCAAGTTAAAAGGCCATTTTTGGATAAGCTTAGAACCTTTGTTATTTAACTACTGACATAAATCAATCTATACACTCAGGAAACCTTTACCCATCACAGTTGCTTCAAGTGTTCACTTTTTTAACCAGCAAGAAGCTGCAAGGAACAAGAATCTCAAACTCAGTAGATTCAAGCAACCTGTACCACACATTTTTTGTTGCTCATTGTTCTGTACGTTGACTGGTGGTCTTCTGATCTGGGCCAGCTTGCATGGGCTGGATGATCCAGAATGGCCTCACTCCCCTGTCCGGCAGCTGGCTCAGTGTCAGATGCAGAGACAGCAAGGGGACAGCTTGGCCAAGTGTCTTGTCACCCAGTTGACTAGCCTGGACTCTCTCGCCTGGTGGTGGCAGTGCCTGGTGCTTCCAAGAGAGCCAGCCACCATGCACAAGCATTTCCTAGAGCCTCTGCTTGCTGTATACCTGCTAGTATCCGACTGACCATGTCAAGGCCAGCCAAGAGTCAATACAGGGGGTCATGACCGAGTCAATATAGGGGATCATTACCAAGGGGATGTGCTAGAAGGAGGGGAATCATTTCTGGTCATTTTTAATTTATCACATTTTTTCATTAAACAAATACAATTGGATCCTCATTATTCATAGGATTCCACATTTGTGAATTCACTTCATAATCACTAAATTTATTTATAACACCGAAAACACAGCATTTTTGTGGTCATTCACAGACATGAAAAAATTGAGTCTCCTGACCCACACGCTCCCTGCTGAGGCTGACTCTGGGAAACTAGACTCTGCCTTCTTGTTTTAGAATGAGTGTTCCTCTTGCAGTCAGCTTAGTGCCACTTTTTCACATGTTTGTGATTTTTTGTGTGTCGGTGATTCCTCTGTCTAAAATAGCCCCAAAGTGTAGCACTGTCTAGTTTCCTGAGCACAAGAAGGCTGCCATGTGCCTCATGGAGAAAACACTTGTGGTAAACAAGCTTCATTCAGACAAAAAAGTCAGTGCTGTTGGCCATGAGTTCAATGTTAATGAATCAACAATAAAAATTAACTGCATTTAATTCTTCAAATAGAAGCACACATAAAACAAGGCTACATAACAGTCAGTTGATGGACATGTTATGCCCAGAGGCTCGTAGGAAGGTAACCATATATTTACACGAGGAGCAGTGGCTCAGTGTTGGCTAATCCAGTGTCCCCATAATCTTCTAGAACAGAAGTACCGTGAGTACTGAGAATCAACTGTGTCGAATGAGCACCTGCTTTGTGCCGAGCACTGTGCCTACAGCTGGAGATTTGGTGAGCTCTCGCTTCCAAGGAGCTCAAAGTCCAGTTGTGCATTAATGAATGACACTTTGAAGACACAGTTTGGGGCGAATCAGGGAAGACATGGTGAGGACATGAAGTGTGGGCCAAGACCTGAAAGGTGAACAGGACGGTGACAGCTCAGGTCCCCAGGAAAGAAATTTTGACAAGTATATCTGAGTGCTGGGATCTCTGGGGGTCGGGCTCAGGAAAACACCTGTAAGGTGAGTAAGGGAGTGAGGGAAGCAGCATGGGGCAGAGGGGAAAGTAGCAACAAAGGACTCAGCCAAGCCCACAGAGAGCTCTGTCCCCAGTTGTGGTAAGAGGCTAGGACTTTGTACCTCGACATTAACCAGTCATAACTCTGGGCAAGGCTGCTCCCTTCAGTTGAGGACAAACCTGGGGAAAGACTCAGCTGTCAGCTGATGACTATCCAGGAAGTTGAGGAAATGAATGCTTAAGTGGAAACTGTGAGCAGTGCCCCTTGACCTCAGCATTCCTAAAAGGAGCTAGGGATGAAGGAGAAAGGGAATGATACCAAATGCTGGGAACAGCATGTGCAAAGGCCCTGTGGTAGGAGAGGGCATGGAATGTGTGAAGAGAAGGCCCACATAGGCCTGGGGCATGGATGGCATGTATGAGTGTGAAATGAGACGAAGCTGGAGAGCAGGCCAGGATGAGATCACATGGGGCCTTGTGGGCCATGGTAAGAGTTTTGGTCCTCATAAAGGAAGCAATCTGCTTCAGTGAAGAGAACAGAATTGAGCAGAATTGGGAGAAGCAAGATTGAGTCAATGTGAGAAGGCCAGATTGTGTGTACAAAGATAGCGGCTCAGGAGATGGTGAGAACTGAACGGAGGTAGAGTCGACAAGACCTGACACTGGCATAGATGGTGAGGGCACCTGGTCTGCCTGAATGAATGAACAGAGGTGCCTGGATGGGGGTGGAGGACTCCAAAGGAATTAAAACAGAACTCACTGTACTCAACACAGTCAACAGGGTACTTAGCTGATGCTCCCATCTCCACGTCTGGCACTCTGGTTGGAGATGAAGATGGTATAGAGGTGGTAACAGAAGCCTCTGTGGGAATGAGATTGTCCAGGAGCAGAAAAGAGGAGAAGCCCTAAGGCTAAGTCCCAGGAACATCCTACAGTTAAAGGCCAGGTGGGACAAGACGGAGGGAATAAAAGGACCTGAAAAAGCTGGATAAGTGGAAGGAAATAGAGGGAAAAAGGTCACAGACGCCAAAGGAAGACATTATTTGATGGAGAGAGTGGTCCAGGGTCAGTGCTGCTGAGGGTACAGTAGGATGAAGACTGAAAATTTTCCACTGGATTAATGACAGATAACAGAGCTGAGGTCTCCAATGTGAGAAACAAATAACTAAGCAGAAGTTTTTGGGGGTTTTTTCCATTTGGGGAAAGATAACTCCAGGTTATCACATTGCTAAGTAATCCTTTCCCCTCTTTTGTGTTTGGCTCTTGGAAGGAGAAGCTACAGGAATTCTTAGCACTTAAAAGAAGTGATGTGTATGCTTTAAAGCCAAGGAAACACTGCCTTTGATTAGCTTAGAGCAGCCAGGTCTCTCTTGCTAGAAAGAAGATCAAAAGCTTGGAGAGAAATCAAATATATGAAAATTAAACAAAATTGACATGCTCTCTCAGACCTAAAGTTTACACATGGTCATATCAAATCCTAGTGAGTTTTCAGTGAGCCCTATATTCATTCATTCATTCATTCTAGACTGGCACAGCCATGTTAGAGAGCATGATAACATGTAGGAAGATTCATGAAAACAGTCCTTAAGGTAACTTCTGCCTGTACAATTTTACCCAAGGATACAATTCAACAGAAACAGAAGAAAATGCACGTGGATATTGAATGCAGATTTTCTCTTAAAGTTAATCCTCGAACACAGCATAAATGTTCAATATTTGGGAATAATTTTAATAAATATTTGTTAAGCAAAAGGATGGAATACTAAAGAATCATTAAAATGACTGCAGCATCACAGAGAAAAATGTTGAAGTGCAAATAAACATAAAACAGTAGGCTTAGTATTATCTGTATAAATTACACAAAGAAAAATGAAATCATGATGAATTAGATAGTGGGGTCATAATTTTCCAACTGTTAAACTCATTAATATTTTTGTGTTACCTGCTTGTGTAAAATACGCAGGAGTAATGTTTGGGAAGAAGCACCAAAAGAAGAAAAACACCTCTGAAAGGGGCTCTGATGTCAAACTAACCAGAAACAGACCATGAGCGCAGAATAAGATTATCTCAGTTCCATAATGAAGTATTCGAGATGAGTTCAAAGGAGATCTTATGTCAATGATAACTTCCCCACTCACTAACAGAAGGTAGAACGAACTCTCCAATTTGCCTAAGTGCTTGAAACATCTTTGAAATGTCATTCCATCTTTCACACATCACCAGTGCAAAAGGAACCATCCAAGTTTATTAGAGACTCCTCCATAATTAAGCAGACAGAGCCTCCTTCTCAGGTAATTATACCTGGGAGGATCTGGAGGTCCAGCTCAGGAGACCAATAAGGAAGGTTACAACTTGAGTGTTGAGACCAAACACTAGATCTGGAAGAATTTAACAGCATCCTGAGCACTTGGCCAAGAGATACGAGGGCCCAGACCAGTTACCCAAGGGGTTCCTTTGCCCTCTGCCTCCCTGGTCCCTGCTGAAGAAGCAAGAGCTGGTTCTCAGATCCACTGGAACTGGGGACAAGTGCTGGCATTCGCTGGAGTGGAGACTGAGTGCTTGGATTCCCAGAAGCCACATGGCATTCGTCCACTAAAATTAAACCGTCTGTTTCTGTTCTTACCTCACTGAATCACAGGGCTCCTTTGAGCTGCTGCAGTTGTCTTCTTGAGAAACAGGTGATCATTAAGTCCTGGCGTGGACAATCATCTTAGCTCTGGGTGTCTCGAAAAGGATAGCGCTTCTTCCACTTCAGAGAAACTCAGGGAATGAGAGGTTTGCTGTTGGTCAAGAAACAGGAGAAGAAAAGACACACCATGAAGTTATTATAATGGGAACACATCTTCTGATTGCTGCTCAGTGCTCCCAGGCACAGCAAATATTCATTATATTTAAGATGGTGTTCACAACGAACAACACCCACAGAGGGAGAGAAAGAAAAGCTGCACCAGACACTACACCAATTTCATTAATAGTCCCTGCCTCCTGCAAAGAGATGATCTGGAGCTGTTTGTGTGGATGCAAAAGCCTTTGCATCTACACCGAAAATGACCAGCTGCCCTCAGAGAATTATGACTTTTGAGGACCAAGCATATAGTTCAAGAATTCAGCGTCTTTTTTTTTTGGTGGGGGGACCAGAGAATTTAAAGCAATGATCATGTTCAGAGCATCTTTAAATTATCTTCTTCCCAAGCCTTTTAAGTCACACCCCTTCCCCAACCAAGAACTTATTTCCCAACAGTGGGCAGCAATGTCAGCATCTTAAATCACAGCCACAGACCAGCCAAGAGAAGGGGAATCCGTTTGCCAAAGTGTAGGTCTTGTTAAATAAATTCTTCCTTGACAGCAGAGAAAGGCCTGGCTCAGAAAATGGCTTCTCAAACATTTTAATTTAATTCATCAAGGATTTATTGAGCACCTGCTATCAGTAGCCAAGCTCTGGGAGCTGCAACTTTGAGAGAGAGACTGAGAGACAGAGTGAGAGAGT